TTTAAAAAGCGATGGTGCCAGGACTGACCCCATTGAGCTGCTGATGCAGTTAAATTTTTTTTTTCTCCAACAGATTAAAATTTACAATGCAAACATAGAGACGTGTTTCCTGAAAAGCCCCTGAGAAAGGAAACTCTATGTCAAACACTAATTAATGAATATTAAAGAAACATAGTTAAACTTTAAAAACAGATGCTATTGTTTGTTGTGCTTCATATTTATAACACTCAAAAATCTACTTTGGTGAAATAATGTGAGTGCACTTTGATCCAGTTAGACTGAGAGTTAACAAACAACTCAGCAACTGTCATCAGATTTTCATTCAAATATTGCTAAATCCTGCTTGGCACACTGAAACACGTGACATCGCCTTTTTTCAAGTCATGCTACAAATTGGTGAGAAGAGTACAATATGATTACAGAAAATTTTACAAAAAATTTCACCTTTTCAACGGCAACATTCCTAGTAAGCAGGTGATTGCAAAACTAGTTTACAGGCCTTTAGGAAGGAAGAAAAACTATGAAAAACAGAGCATGACTGACCAGCAGAATCTGTTTTTCAATTTGAATATCATGATCAACCTTGTCAACAGAAACTGTGAAATTAGCTAAACTAAAGCAGAACTGGGAAATGAAACTGGAAACTTATCTGTCCCTGTGAAAAATCTTTGTTTTCTTCTCACTGTTCTCGTGAAAGATTTTGAAAGTGTATCAAAAAAAAGTTAGCAAATGAATAATTTAAACATTTACAACAGTTCAGAAACAGAAATATATATACATGACATAAATACAAGTGTTTAGATTCTCTGGGTTAATTTTCACTAAAACCTTGGAATATTAGCTTGATGTGCACGTTGCAGTCACATTGCTCTCAGGGTCAAGTCTTTATTCAGTCCCAGCTGATCCTTCTCTGGATGGCACAGAGATGAACCTCATTATGGTCTTTAAACATTTCTTTTTGTTCAGAAAGCCCTTCCTTTCCTTCAGAATGATCAAACTCTCTTGCATCTCCAGACTATCCATCTCTTTGTTTCTTTGTGTGAGGATGGGTTTTAGCATAACCTCTGTATCTGTCTACTTGTATTCAAAACATATAGATCTAATGGTTTCAGATTCCCCAAACTGCTTTGGAATAAAGATTTGTTTTATGGGCCAGCGCAGCTGTTTCCTGGTAGGCAAATAGAGTACTGTAGATCTGTTGGCTCATTCCTCCACCAAAACACACTGCTTGCCTCGGTGCATGTGTGGTGACGGAATACTTGTCAGTTTTGTAGCATCTGACGTCTACAAGCTTTACTAAAACAATCTTCGACTTGCACCTTTTTAGACAGTGTGAACAGCTTGGCCTAAATAATGGGCCTGTCTTTTCACTTGTCAGAGCAGACTGTCTTGTTTATACAACACATGAGCTGTTCCTCAAAGTTCTTATCCAACAGGTGGTTTCATTTGGCACTGAAAATGTCCTTGCCACATGCAGCATTCTAAAATAAAAATAAATAATCATTTCTTTCCTTTTATGGCCCAAATTGTTTGGAGTTTCATTAGTTTACACAAAAATGGCTAAAAAGTAATTGAACTACTTGAATCACTATATAAATATGAATCAGCATAGCTGACGACCTTCAAGCTACTGCAAAAAGTAGTTAAAGTACTAGTTTACAATACATGTAGTTCACTACCCCCCAACGCTGATATTATATTATACTCATCAGAAGTCAAATTATCCATAGGAGTCGCTGGGTAAGAGTTAAAAAGATAACTCAAGTGTCATGCTGGAAGTACATACCAGCCACAATCTTAAATTTATCTGTCCATTTCCCACTACTTAGTGGGAGTTAGTCTAGGACCTAGACTCTAGGTCGTAGTGGCACCTGCTTAGAGAGGTAGCCCAGTTCCTAGGTCATATGGGATGCATAATACCTTCAGTTTTTTCTGGATCATCCTCCATTTGAACATGAACAATTCCACAGGGAACTATCCAGGAAGCACCTCAGCTGACTTCCAATGCTGTAAGTTCCATGTGGATGTCTGAGTGTCTAATCTTTTATTCATGAGTGAGCCCATCTAGCCTTACAGATCTCATTCTTTTGGTCCATATTAGTATTTCCACTGATGGTCCCACCCTCCATTCTTGCTCACAAATTATCAGCAAGACTGAGTGGTGTGCCGTATCAAGCTATCTTAATTCATCCACAGCTGATCCTGATTCCCACTGCTTCACAGTGAACTGTAACTATCCCAGTGCACACAGGAGGCCAGAGTCTGATGAAGCTGGCAACAACTTGGCAGCCCAAAAGTTGTTCTCATTAAAAGGCCAGTCAACTGATTTCCCCACATAATGTTCAATTTGTTTCTCCTGAATAGTGCTCAGTCTGTGAGAATAGCATTCTGTGGCTATGGAAAGAGCTTGTCTGATGAAAGATACTATCATGATCTATTTGGGGTAATGGGGGATGCAGTGTTTTTGGAGCCTGATCCTGCTGTTTTGATTTCAACCTTTCTTTTGTCACTTGGGAATCCCCCAACTTAATGGAAGTGCAATACAAAATGTCTGGAGTTGATGATTTAGTTAATGATTTAGTCTATTATTGTTCTATTTAGCATTAGTAAATGATTTATTAACATTAAAAGAATGATCATTTACAACTTATAAACCCTATATATAGGGTGACTTATCAGAAAGTGGTACCAAATGTGGTTTTTCACAAAAGCACGAACTTGTAAGTTGCAACAATGTCTGTATTAAGATTCATTTCTACCAGGGCCTAATGTTGGCACATAAATCATTTATGGTGTACTTCATCTAGCTCAGTAAAAGATGACACTACAGTTTCAAAATCATATGAATGTGTTGACCATACATTGATGCAAAACTGGTAAAAGCCACGTTTAAATACAACTATAATACTACAAATCTGAGGCAGTATATTTCCTCTGCTGCTTTTCCAACACTAAATAACCCAGTTTTACATAAAGCAGCCCATCATTCTGACCCAACATGAACCTTATGGTGGGTTGAAAATTAAATCCTGCATTTTTAGTGGGTGGCTTCAGTTAAGGCTTGATGTTGGCATAAAGCCTCACTCATTACTGACTCTTTCTATGGGGATTTACAGAAGGGATTACAAGCGATGGCATCAGTGAGATGTGTGCAGGAATGAAGCAAAACAACCTAAAATGAATAAGAGAGATCAAGAAGATATCAATGTGAAAAGTAGATCTTGTGTCTAAAACTGCAGGAATTGCAAAGGTGATAAATGGAAGATGTTCAGTATATATCCCATGAAGGAAAGCCAGACAGTGCAGAGCGCAGAACTAGAGAACAGAATAGCTTTGCATGATTCTGTGTGTCTGATCATTAATGCTGATTAAATCCTATTTTGACAGTTTGTTAAGAGTGAGGCCTTGCCTGTTTACACTTCAGTCATCTGTAATAATATGTTTGTGCTTGAATCTAGCACATCTAGCATGTGCGTGCTAGATTTTGAGGAAGAGCAGGGTTTTCACACATTACATTAAAAATATAATAACCAGAATAAGTTTGCCAGTGCTCTTAACTTGAGCAACAGGCAAACAGCATGACAAAGTTACTTTTCTGCTATCATTATATGTGAGAGGAGGCTTCTCTGCTTTAAAGTTTAACCCACGCCGGTAGTTGATACTTTTGGACACACACAGGCGATCTCTCTCCACCTGTCAAGCTAACTTTGTGTATGGTGTTGTTTAGCGTTAGTACTGCTACTAGCTGTTGTTTCCAGTGTCAACTGCTAAATATTTCTAAATACTGAAAATGTCCATGTATAATGACAATGTAGAAACATGTTTTTTACCCATGCTGCATGTGCATCCTCAATTGCTTTTAAGCTGGAAGTCTGTCTATAATGCAGTCAGACTGCAACTAATTTTCTCTCTGGTCCACAGACATTTTACCTTCCATCCGTCTCCAAGCAAGCCACTTCAGCAGCTTCACTGTATCACAGTCAAATTTCACCCACATTGGCATAAAGCTTTTTAATTTATTACTTCTGAACCCTCCTCCTTGGTTGCTTCGCAAGCTTTTTCGCATTGTCTGGAATTATTGTCATGTGATTTGCCCGTGACCCACCGAATTTTAATGGGGTCATATTTCCTTTAGTGGGTTATCAACGAGAGACTAAAAACTGAAGGCTCTTTCTTAGCTTTTGAAACCCTTTTTTGAAGGAAGAAACATGTCACACAATGCAGCAGTATGACTCCCTGGTGTGTTTTTAATAGGCTAGTTTTTGGACAACAGTGGAGGTCTGCAGCACAGATGAATAAGCTAAGCAAGGTTCTGTATTCACAGACATTACGGTGAGTACACAAAGTTCATTGCTGATTTGTCGCTGTATGGGATCTGGGGAAAATGTAAATAAAAAAAAATCAACAACATCCTTTAAGACATGGGCTCAGACAGACCTCTGGTTAGGGAAATATTAATACTGAATGAATTAAACTTTATTTTGGACTCTCATGCGGGTCCATAGCAAATAATATTCTTATGAAATGATACACGTAGGTGGCGAAAGAATAAAAGCAGCAGAGGAGAAATAACAACAATAATAATGATAATAATAATAATCAGTGCTACCTGGTTGATGAATGCTTGATATAAGATGTACAGTATGGGACAACTTTGCGGACCGACCGCCAGCTATGCTATCCAGAGCAGGTTATGGTTATAATTGTACACACGCTATTTTTGTCCCTTTGCTTTTGATGTGCCGGCACTGTTTCATGCATTTTCTGTGAAATTCATTAATTTCATTGGCTCGTCTGACTTCATCACCCCTGCGCTGCACCCATCGTCTTCACGCGTCTCCGGCGCCAATAAATCATCAGTGGTCAGGTTGTTCTTTTATCATTGGTCGCTTTGGTTGTCCGTCAAGCGCACTCTACCGTGGGATTGGGCTTCTCCAGGAGCTGTCTTTCTTGGCTGTACCTGTCCCGTTGTGAGAGGCTGACAGTCCTTCCTGTTCCAAGCATTGCTCCCGCCCCTTCTTCCAGCTCCAAGGAAGGGAAGAGGAACTGCTCTAGCCGCATGTGTCACTTTCAGTATGCAGCAAAAACGTGCTGCTATGTGTCGCCCTGGCATTATTTAGCAAGTCTTGCCACTGGTGGGACATAAGGTTCAAAGATTGGACTCACAGCCGGTGTTCTGGGGGTGCGGGACGCCTAGGGAAGGTGGTGCAAGTGGTTTCGGACGTGGAGCGTGGCAGAGAAAAGGAAGAAGGGGGGCTTTTCTTTCCTGTGTGATACCAGATAGCTCGCTTCGCTTGCTTGCTTGCTTACCACGAAGGGATTGGCGTAGAATATGGCGGAGCATCACCCGGTGTCCGACAACAAACATAAATCGTCATTGAACTCCGGAGCGTCGTACTCTGGAAACGGGCGCAGCACGGCGCTCGCGGAAAGAGGCACCAACACCGGATCAGGAGGAGGTCTGTCAGGCGGCCTGTCACAGCCGGCCGGTTGGCAGTCCCTGCTGTCTTTCACCATCCTGTTCCTGGCCTGGCTGGCCGGCTTCAGCTCCAGGCTCTTTGCTGTCATTCGCTTCGAGAGCATCATTCACGAGTTTGACCCCTGGTGAGTTTGTTTCCGCACATCGCACTGCAGGACAGGGGGCTGCTACAAATAGACAGTCAGGAAGTTTCTTTTAAAACATGTCAAGTTAACGGTTAGTAGTAACCTACACTTTGTCAAGCAAGCACCCAAATTCACAGAAACTACTGTATGTCTTTGCCTTTTAGTTTAAGAACTTCAAACCCCGCATGTTCCAACACATGGGTACAAATGATAACATCCAGGGTATTGACTTAAGCTACTGTGATAAAGAACTGGAGCTGCCATACAGCTGTATTCTGATATAGCTCCTCTGTCATTTATCGAAACCATTGCTTCCACGTCTTGGCGTTTATGTGTCTTTCCTGAGCATTGTGTTGATAAAACATACCACTTAATTTTGGGCCCACATTTTCAGCTCTGACACTGGATATCTGACGTAGTTGATTATAAAGTGCAACACTAACAGGCAAAGGCGGAGGGGTGGGGACATGGCAGCAGAGTAAACGAGGACACTGGTGTCCCGCTTCATCTGACACAGGTTGAACCCGGAAAGAAGCATCCGCGGTTTAATAGGCTCAAGTCTCTCTGACACAGATTTCTACTTCATTTACCCGCAGAGCACATCTGCTCCAATTTCTATACAGCAACTGTAGCACAGATTACTGGCTATGTGCCATACACCGATTTCAGTAGAAGCCCATTGTTATTTATTATCCTGAACTTTATACCTATAGACCTTGGTTTAGCATCTAAAGTTTACTAAACTACAGTTTTGTCCTTGGATTGAAATGTGCTCCTTGATCTGCATGTCACTTTCTTGTTTTCAGATTCATATGCCTTTTGAAAGTTTACTTTAACCAGACTTTCCTTGAATACACTGCAGGATTTTGTGGTTGTGGTACATACTGCTAGTTTTACTCGTGAATAGTGTGAATAGGATTTCCTCACACTATCTCAGACGGTGCAACAAGACAGCAGCTGACGGTTGGACAGTGAGGTTAGCAGACTTTGGTGTAAGATGAGCTGTAAGGAGGTCTCAGGTATATAGTACCGATGCAGGCCAGTCCTGTGCCTAACCACAGCTGATGCTTGTTTTGCAATAGCCATGATATTGTTTATTTCAAAACCCCTACCAGCGTGGCTGCAACTAGAAATTGTTCATGCTTTTTATTTGTACTCCAAGGGACCGTTGCCTGACCCAAGCCTGCACTGCCTCACTGTAGCATTTGATGATTATTCTGAGAGCAATGCTGTGGATTAAACTGCCAGCTTCATGTCTGTCTGCTAAATAAAAGAGGAGGCTTGAAAGCTTTACCAAGCAAGAATCCTTTAGTTTCTGTATGTTGCTGTCTGAAAGCCTAACATGGCATGATGGGGAGTGAAATTTATTGTTACACATCTTCATTGTTCTCATATTCTCCCTTTTGCTATCAGCCTGACGGCATTATGCACACTGGATATTTGCATGACTTGGGAGTTGTGTGAGATCCTCTGTGTGTGTGTGTGTGTGTCAGTGTTTCCCTTGCAGGATGAGATCAAATGATGCAATAGGTTCCAGATCAAATTGTTAGATATCTATCTATCTGGATTACAGAAGGGTGCATGCCTTTTTTTTAATTTATATGTGAAATATTGTAAGTTTTCAAATGGTGATTGCAGTATTTTAGTCAGGACAGTCTGCCTTATGTAAAGAAGGGGAAGCCCCATGTGTATGTGTGCTTTACTGTCTGCACTTGCATTTGTGAAGGGAAGTAGCTTATCATTGCCTAATTATTGGAAATGTGAAACTGGCTCAAGTTTGAATCTTATGTTTTTTGGTCAGAGTAAATTTGAATTTGTGGAAGAAATGGGATTTTTTTTTCCACAGGTCATGCAAAAGAATTTTAAAGGTTGTCAAGCATTCAGGAGAATAAAAACACAGGAGGGTTTGTAGCCTTTTCTGATCATCGCTTGACAACAGTTCCTTCGCAGGAGGATCGCAGGAGAGCTAACTGTCATATCATCCCTGTGCTACCCTGTTTGTTCTGTCTGTATTACCCCTCTCTGCCTCACACACACACTTCCTCTGATGTGTCCTTGTGATGTGGCTAGTTAATAGTCTGTTTCTATCAGAAGTGTGAAATTGTGCTTTTAGATCTGACAGCAAAAATAGGTTAGTACTGGCATTAGGCAGCTGGCCCATAGGTGGTTAAAGGTAGGGCTGGTGATCTTGGAAACACCAGCAAGAGGAAGCTCAGTTTTGAAAGTAGACAACTGATGAAATCCCACCCTTTTGACACCATGGTGTCACTTTTCAGCCCGTTTTGTTCTCTGTTGTCACTGT